ATTCAAATAACATATTGCTTAAAAAAAAAACATATTTGCATTTTGCTTGAATAGCATATTACAAAATATTCTCTGTTTAGCTCCATCTACTACAGCAGGAGTCGGCAACCTGCGGCTCTTTAGTCCTTATAGTGCGGCTCCACGCAGTTTGGGAAAATAAATTAGAAGTATTTAGCTGAAGTGTATTTTATTTATGTTAGTTCTTTTTTTTAACTTGTAATTCTAAATTGGAAGATTATTGTAATTTTGAAATATAAAAATAAAATTATATTTTATTATTTTTTCATCGCTCAAAATAAGCGTCACACTTGCGGAAGCCGGTGTACCGGGCGAAACGCCGTGCATTTATCGAGACTTTCAACCCCAGGTAGGCCAGTTATGGATCTTCGGATCCACATTATGTCGGCAGCTCCACCATGAACTTTGTTAAAAACAAACACCGCTCACGCCTCACAGACGACAGCTTACAGTCCTGCGTAAAGATGAAAGTGACTTGTACAGCCCCGATTTGCAGACGCTGTGCGCAGAGGTTCAGGAGCAGAAGTCCCATTGTAAACATATCACGGCAGACCCGACGATGTTTGCGTGAACATGCTTTTCAGTAGAGCTGGGCGATATGAGATTTTTTCATATCACGATATGTTTTTTTTTTTCATTTCAGGCGATCACGATATCTATCACGATATAAGCCAAATAACTATATTTGTAAGATTTAAATGTGCCGTTGCTCACAAGTAAAATGTGAAATAATCAGCAGCTTGTTTTTATTTAAATATTTATTTCCCATAATAAGTTCAACAGGGTAGATGTACTTAAGGAACATGAGACTTTTTCAGATAAATAAAGGCAAATATTGCAAACTACACAAAAGGCAGCCGCTAAAGCGTCTAAGTTTCAAAATAGAACAAACGAAACAGACTAAATTGTCAATTCCACTTAGAAACAAAATATTAATTCTAAAAATAAATCTTAGTTTGTGTTACAGAAGAACAGACAAAACTGACTAACTTTTGTCAATATCAAATAAACTGAGAACTAAAAGGAAATTCTCAATCTCTCCTTGTTGTATAGCTTAGCTTTTCAAACAGTTTTAACAGTTACTTTAGTCTGACAAAAGCCGAATGACGAATTAGCGCTTCCAGTCAGAGACTGAGGCTACGTCCACACGTACACGGGTATTTTTGAAAACGGAGATTTTCCGTTTTCGTTTTAAAAAATAATCCCGTCCACACATAAAGGCAGAAATGAAGGAAAACGCTGCTATGAACATGCCAAAGCAGCAGGTGGCGCTCGATTCCTAACCGTGCAGAAATGTTGGCCAATCAGAAGTCTAGAAGCCTCGGTGGGAAAAAGTAAACAAAGCTGCGGCATAGAAGCAGAACCGAGTCGTATGTGTGGACCGACAGTAACTGTGTGTATATGTAAGCATTTAAACACTGCAGAGAGTAGAATTAACAGTATTGTAGAAATTCATTTCACCGAAACAATAACGTGGCGCACAGTGTGACGCATGCACCAGTTTATTGTATTTCCAGACTTGCTTTCAGCACAATTTACAGTGCACGCTACTCTGTTTTTTGTCAGACTTGAAATAGCCGAAATACCTTCACACTACGGAACTTCTTTGGCTCTTCCGTTCGACAATCTCTCCGGCATTGGAACCATCATCTGTTTTCTCTTCGGTCACGCTCGGTTGATTTTTCTAGTCGGCACACTCATTTCCTCCATAACCGCCGGCTGCTTCCCAAACAAACACACGTGCGGCTTGGCACTTGTGCTGTACGTAACAAGTCACGCGACGTGACGCTGCGGCTGTGATTGGTTCAGCTCTGCGCTACTTAATTTGGATTGGCTGACTTTGAGGACAAGAGCGGCGAGGTCTATCGGGATAGCTTAATTTCTCTATCGAGTAAAAGTTATATCGCGATACATATCGTTATCGTTCTATCGCCCAGCTCTACTTTTCAGCATCTCTTTATTGACCACTTTTCACACACGGTTGCTGTACGGTAGCTTTTCAGCTCACAGCCTGACACATACCAACAACAGTATAGACGGCACAGACGTTAAGGCGGCGAGGCGTGATTGCAGGTGCCGCTCAGGTGCGTCCTCCTCCCCTGCAGCAGTGCTGCAGACCACGCCCCGCCATACACATTAACCAGGTAAAATACATATTTAGGCAGAAGTTTGCAAATATCTATTTTTCATTTTTTAGCAGCATAGTGCTTTTTTTCCGAATTATTTTTTAAAAGTCATGTCAAGGCTCCAAAAGCCCAAAGGCGACATAAGGGTGGCAGCTCACAACAGTTTATGTTTGCTGGATCATTTTAGTTCAGCTGGGTGTCTTTCCTTTTGTTATATTTCTTTAAGAGTTCAAAATGTGCTAATTACATAAATAAAATGTAATTTTCTCTGTAGCACTTCATGGATTTCATAAGCAACACACCTTAGTTGTTCACACAAAGCATAAAGGTAAAAAACAATATATACAGTGTTATCTTCATTTTAGATGTGAAAAACTATTTGCGGCTCCCAGTGTTTTCTTTTGCATGGAAAGCGGGTCCAAATGGCTCTTTGGGTCTTAAAGGTTGCAGACCCCTGCCCTACAGCTACTCTCACTGCAATATTTGATCGAATGCAAACAACGTCAAATTTGATTAAGTACAGTACGGGGACAAACAAAAAATTGTGTAGTAAAGACGGCACTTAAACGCATCTCTAAAAAGCAACGTGGGAGGAGGTCAAGGTTATAAGACAGTCACTGAAAAAGAGAGGGTCACACAGCTGGTACTGTCAGCTGTTTTAGGACCTTAAATCAAACAGTCTAAACAAACTGTTGTACAGACCCTAAAGCGGATGTTGGGGAACCCTAAACCGGGTGCTGTGGACACTCAAAACTGGCTGTTACAGAAACCCTAAACCAGCTGTTACAAAGATGCAACACCGACAAAGAATCTTTTGGCTGTTATAAATGCACGTATTAATTCATCAACAAATAGCAAATATTAGCCAATACATCAGTGCGGCTCTGTAAAGACCTTAAATGAGCCATTGTAAAACAAAGCCAGCTGCTATAAAGAGCTACCACAGAGAATTTCACTTGCAACTGATGCTGTGCTTAAAATGTCATGTCAATATAATTAAACAATAAAACACAAAGTGTGTCGTTCATAAATTCATTAAAAGTCCGACTGCAGGATGCCAAACTGAACCTGGAAATGTGAAGTCTTTATTTCCTGGTATGATTCAGCTTGAAGTTTTTGAATTCATCTCATTTCTAAAGTTTTTCAGAAAGTTTTAAAATCAAGCACTGCTTAGACTGAAAACCAACACTAAACATGACTGAGTGAAGAGAAAGTCAACAGCAGATTTAACCCTTTTTACCTCAATTTCAGTCTCATTCATAATTATTGATAAATCGATAAAACCTCTGAGAGCAGAGTGAAGTTGGTTCTCAGGGATCATCACAGCACCACAAAGCCCATTGCTGCTATGCAGTCTCTCAGAGCCCTGGCATCCTGCAGAAACTATGAAAAAAAGAAAAAAGACTGGCACAACTTTTCCTCCTTGTTGCTCTCAGCACTCCAGGCGAGGTGTCACTGAGTGTTCATGCAGTCATTTGTTCTTAGTCCTCATCCTGAGCAATACTTTTCCACAAACATCATAAAGATTACAGCTCAGATTGTTTTCATGTTTGTGGCCAATCGTGTTTACCTCTGATTTTCCTCGGGGATCAGTAACACAGCTCGTCTATTTTTCTGTGGAATTGAATCTTTATTTGTAAATCCACCCAGAAAGCCTTTTTGGAATCCATCGCTCACCTGTCTCATGGAATGGCTGCAACTCAATTTCATCTGAGATGCGTGTGAGACAAACGTTACCCCAGGATACAAGTTGGCTTTTTTATTTTTGTTTAAGACTGTCTGTGACACTTGGTTACATGTAATCTCTACACACAGCTGGTTAAATCACACAAATCTCCCGGTGCAGATATGCTGCGAGAGCATCCATAATAAATGATTACAAGCACCCGTGAGGCTAGAACCTGCAAGTTTCACCATAGTTAAGACTCTGCCTACCCACAACAAAAGGGCAGGGAACTAAAAATCAATGAATCAATAAAGAAATGCAATGTTGTTTTCTTCAAAACCATCGTGCAGCCTACTCAGACTCTATTTTTGCTCAGCAAGTCGCTGTTATCGGTCAGCCCGGTATAGACCGTCTTGAAAGGTACTTTCCTTTCTGCTGCTGACAGGCAGACAACGAGTCGTGATGACAGAGACGGCCAAACAGAGGTCGTTGTGGACTGAAGGGATCAAACACTTTAGTATCGCTTTGCACCATCTCAACAGGAATGTGAACTCACAAGTAAGACGAAAAAAAATCAATGCTCCTTTTGTCCCCTGTGTGGGGTGGGGTGGGTGGGGGACTAACAATAGGCAGTAACACAGTTTACAGATTAGTTGCTGCTTTAAGCTAACTGGGAAATAAGAGCATAGCAGTATAGAGCATGGGCTGGGGTCGTTAAAGTTTCTAATATAATGTCTATATAATGATTACACATTTCAAACTCCAGCTTGTGAGCTGCTGCACAAACACACCTCTTCAATTCAAACTTTAATTTTTAGGAAAAAAAATTTCCCAAAGCATTATCAACGAAGATGAGAAAATATATTTAAATGACTGTAAAAAATAAACATTGGCTTTTACTGTACCCAAAGGAGCAATGCAGCAAACTAGAATACTATTATGGCAACCAGTTCGAGCACTGACTGTTTTCTGTTTTGCTTCTGTTCACACGACCGGTTAATTCAATCTTACTGGGCCAACAGACACAAGAAAAATAGCAATACCGAGACCTTCAAATGCCACTAAACACATTTTTGAATGTACTGATGGTTGCTGTGCAATGCATACTTTTTGAGTGAGAGTCATTAATGCAAACCCCTTTGTACAGGTCATGGCCTGGCATTTTTGCCATGTGTGTTTTGTGTGCTCACCTATGCAGACGTCTATCTTGCCCTTGATGGCGGCTTCGTGCAGCGGAGTGTAGTTCCAGTTGTCTCGAGCGTTTGGGTCAGCCCCCTGACACAGCAGCAAGGACACCACCTACGATAAAAAGGTTGTGGCATATGGGTGTTCAGATCGTTCTTTTTTTTTTTTTTACTTTATAACATGTAATAATTGCATGTGTGACACAGACAGAGCAACAGTCAAACTACAAACTGCTTTGCTTTGAAGTTTGAGTTGTTTTTTTCCTGCAAAACAAATGTGAAAATCTAACAACATACTCTTAAAGTTAATGTTGTATTGGTGACAACATCGCACAACCACACCTAATCTGGCTGTACAGCACTTTTGCAGCAACAGCAAAACACGCAAGGTTACAAAAATCGAGGAGCGCACGACTGACCGAAACGTCACCAAAGCGCGGCTTGCAGCAGTGGATGTGATGTGTCAACAGAGGTGGGACTGAAAGAGATTGAGAGAATGTGTTCACACTTTTGCCATACGAGCATAATGGCCACAGAACACTTTACCTTTGCACTGCTGACAAGCAGTGCAAAGCAGAATGCTGAACATCCATCCATCCATCCATCCATCTTCATCCGTTTTATCCGAGGCCGGGTCGCGGGGGCAGCAGCCTAAGCAAAGAGGCCCAGACCTCCCTCTCCCCAGCCACCTCCTCCAGCTTATCCGGGGGAATACCAAGGCGTTCCCAGGCCAGCCGAGAGATATAATCTCTCCAGCCTGTCCTGGGTCTGCCCCGGGGCCTCCTCCCGGTGGGACATGCCTGGAAAACCTCACCCAGAATGCTGAACAATGAAGACAAATAGATGGTCCAAGACTGCAGCTCCTCTAATGGCCTAAAGTAATCGCTCAGATTCTAGTTCTACATATCCACATTTTTTAGCAGAAGTAAGCATGTTTGCATGTTGCTAATCTGCAATCTAGCCGCAGCTATCATTAACCCTCTCGCTCTCTGATTTTTTAAACAGCCAGATAATTACGTTTCGAAAGATTTCATAAATCAGTAGGTGATGTCACAGAGGCTACATCAATCTTTTTTTATAATTGCTACTTGCTACACTTTAAAAAAAAACAATAAAAGATAGGAATGCCAAGGCCTCCACCTCTGACCACCACTCAATCCAAAGGCAAGCAAAGCAAGAAGGGAGTGGGAGACTGACAGAGTGAACTCTGAGGTCATTCAGATGCTGTAACGGTCAGCTGTGGTAATGAGAGAGGTGAGCGTGGAAGTGGAACTGCTGATTTACTAGTTAATTCACGTCCCTATCCTCACCTATGGTTACAAGCAGTGGATATGACCGAAAGAATAAGACTGCAGATACAAGCCATGGAAATCAGCTTCCCAAGGGTGTCTAGGCTCTCCCTTACAGAAAGTTGCTTAGTCGGAGCTTAGTCATTCTGGAGCTATGACTCTTTCACACTGAAAACAACTAGTCAAGGTTGTTCAGGCATACTACCTGGGATACCTCCTAGGTGGGGTGTTTTGGCCATGTCCAACTGGGAGGAGACCCCAGGACAGAAGCAGGACACAGTGAAGAGACAATTCCCGTGAGGCAACTTGGGAACACCTCAGCGTCCACTCTCTCCCTTTCCCAGCTGAGAGAGGAAAGTCTGGACTGCCATCATGATCCAGACTAGGGCTGAGCCATAATCATACCGTTCACGGTAATACCAGTAGAATATGGGCAAAACGCGCATGCGCAGTGCCTTTGTTTTCATACGCACATGGCGGAAAAAGCATGGCGGCGACAGAGAATGAGGAGGGCGAAAGCGGATTGTTGAATGAAACAAATGAACCAGAATTGATTTGTAAAAATGCTCCAACTTCAGTGCTGTGGAACTGGTTTTGGCTTTTATATGTCAGATACACAACAAAGCACAATTTCTGGTAGCGCATGCTAGCGGGCCGTCGTTATTACCGTTTTTCGGAAAATACGGCACACTTAAAATCATTCCTTTGGTTTTCTGAACAATCGACAGTGCCCCTTATAATCCCGTGTGCCTTATGTATGAATTCTGGTTGTGCTGACCTCGAACCGAGTTTATGTCGTACACGGCGCTCGAAAATCTGTCAAAAAATGTTTTAGTACAAAGCTGCACCGCTTGATGGGTTGTCGGAGAATTATGGCTATTGTAGGCAGGAGCCTCGCGGAGTGATACGTGCTGTGCTTCAACATAATATTACCGCATTGTGTGTGTCCGAAAGTCTCCTTATATTTCAATTGCATCGCTATAAGTGCAGTGTTAATTTCTGTCGATAAGTTCCACTTTGTTCTTACTGTTTGCTGCGGTGATGACGTCACATGCTTTTACGACGCTCCTGCCGTATCACGAGTCCGAGGAGCACTAGCCATGTTTTTCTCCGTGAGTGTGGGGGAATAGCGATCTCCAGCGGTGTGCGTTCCTGTGCAAATGTGAGTCAAAATCCCTCCAGTTCTACGAGTCTATTTCCACTTATAGCACGGGTTGTACTTTGACATTGATTACAGGGGGTTTATGCTAGGAGATTTATCGAGATTGGTAGAGGCATGTGACTTACCACCGTAGCATTTGTTGCGGGTTGGATCTGTGTACCGCGGTTGTGTTATTTAGCCACTAGAGGGCACTGAAGACCATGTAATTGCGACCTTTCCTAATTTGGGGGCATTAGGTCATTTCTGTTGTCTGAGATATGTAGGTATTCTTGTTTCCTGCCTGTTCAAATGGGATTGTGGGACTTTCTTATGTCAGAGCATTCAGCTGATTATTTGTGTTACAGTTCATTATATTGGCATGATGTTGGGAAGTGATGAGTGTTATATTTATATGTGAAAATTGTTTCTCCTTGTTTCTTGTTATTCAGAACCACACGTCTGTCCACCCCTCCCACATTCGTTAAGTATGCCTACTGCTGTACTGTTGAGCTGCTATTAACTTCCATTAAAGTATATCCGGACATCACTCTCTGTGCCCCACTCTCTGACCGGAGTTTAAGTCCTGAGGGAGCTATCATCCCAGCATCCCAGAGATAACTCTCTAACAGTGTGTGTATAACCTCTTTTTAAGTTTTGTGAATATTATACATGGTTATGCTGAGGATATGTCGGCCAATTTCCACTGGAAATGCCTTTTGGTTAAACTGTCAGCAAGGAATTAGCTTTAATGCACATAAAAAAAACAGCTGCTTGTTTAAGTGAAAATACATTGATGGGGTTTGTTTTTTGTTTGGTTTTTTTGCACTAATAAAGTTGTGGAGTTTTGTCTTGCGTCAGTTATACCGTCAGTTATATCATTATCGCAACTTTTCAAATATATATCATGATAAATATTTTTGGCCATATCGCCCCGCCATAATCCAGACACAGATAAATTGATTTAAAAAAAACAAGGCAGTTGTCCACTTTCAATGTTTTAGCTGTGTGTGAGTGATCAATTTTAGTTTCCAAGTATCTGTCATCAAAATGTTAACCGCTGCTGTGATAATACATTTGCATTACTGCTCCAATTTTCTGTGCTCTCCAACAAAGCTCCAAAAGCTCTCTAACATTTGAAACCGTGAATGCTGGATTGATTACTGTAGTAAAAAGCCAGGAAGACAAAAAGGATTAGCACATCTGTCAGAGATAATCTGAAACATCTGCATGCTCACTCATGAGCAGAATAAGAATGGGGGAATGAGAGTCATTTTCCAGATATGCTCAGTGTAATCTGTATAGCTGGAACCTTCATTAGGAGCTCATTTTAACTTCTTCTTTGGCGACATATAAAAAACTTTGTGTGTGACTCGATATAAATCCAGTTAAAGTTGGATTAAAAACTTGAATGAATGTCAGGCATGGCTAGATGGATGAAGATAAATCGCAGCAAAAAAAAATTTTCTGGCACAACTTCACCTGCTTCCAAGGTGCATGGAGAGGATAAAAGAATTCACAAAGCAGGAACTCCAGCAACACTTGAGGGAAGATGAACAACTTTAATAATTGACCAACGCGTTTCGGCTTGTGGCCTTCATCAGGGTCATAGTAAAACATTGTAAAAATTGCTTAAATACAAGACAGGAAACAGAAAAAAAGAGGTGGCAATATAAATTTTATCCGGAAAAAAAGAGAAGCATCTTGGATATTCCGTTTTAAGAGTCTGCACCCCAGAGGTATGAATGAGGATTCTTCTATCAGTGAGTTTTTATGAACTACACCTTTTTTTACCAGTTAAATTACTCTCACATGAGTAATGTTTATTTAATTAATCTTATTATTTTAGCCAAAGAAGTAACGATTTAGACATCTCATCTTAAGTCTACAATTTAAGTCTAAATTTTAGATATTTTACATTTTAGAGACATAAATAATGATCTGTTAACAAATGTGGTTTTACCATTAAAGACCCCCCCCCCTTTTTTTTAAACCTGTGTGTATATTTATAGCATCCTCCTTATGCATTTCATGCATGTGTCATTTTCAGACATATGGGGGTTGTGTCACCCCCCCTCCTCCTGATCAGTAATGATCTAGTCCGGCATTTACTTGGGCGTGACTCAGCCAATTAACCAATACCTACCTATTATATGTCAGCTGACCTATCTATGAAGTTTAGATGGATGAAGAACCAGGTGGAATTCTGGTTGTGGAGAGCATCGAGGGGAGAGCACTGCTGAACCAAGCAGAACTTGACTCTCTGACCCGTCCAGGGTGTACACTGTCGCTTAACCTAAGACAGCTGGGATAGCCTCCAGCGGAAGAAGATAGATGGATGTCCTTCTTGTACAATCATTTTTCAATTAAAATCCATTTCATAATTTGTTGTACAAAAGAGCGCCTTGACATCCTGTATGATCAATTTCGGTCAGTAAAATCTTAGCATCTTCATCTCTGCCTCAACAAATGCTTCTGTCTTTCCCTCAGTGCTGCAATCTACAAACCACACATCATAGCAGCACTCACCACCATCTTGTAAACCCTCCCTTTCACTCTTGCTGCCATCGTTCTGTCACAAATCACCCCTGACACTCATCTCCACCCACTCCACCCTGGCAGTCCTCTCTTCTACACTTCTCTTGTGAGGTGAAGAAGAGAGTGTGGTGTTTAAAACTCATCTAGGAAGCATCTACTTACGTCACTACAAGGTAAACCCTCCTGAATGCAAACATGACAGAAGTCTTCTGATGAGTACATTAACATGGTATGAAGCCTCACCTCAGAGTGACCAAATGAGCAGGCGTTGTGCAGCGGGATGAGACCTCCGTCATCTCGTGCATGCACATTAGCACCCGTCTGAAGCAGATGGTCCACCACATCTTTCCGCCCAAAACCTAAAAGAGAGGCAGAAAGGGAGACAAGTGCTGAAAATAAAAGCAGAAGATCAACTATGAAGCCAGAGCACTAAAAACAAGTTACTGCAACAGCCTTGTCTGGCAGGTCTGGACTTAGTTTTACTGTTTAATCACGTAAATTTTTCATGTTCATCTACAATAAATAAGTCATTTAATTATTATTTTTTTTTATTTACATTCCAGTTTTGTCTCAAACTCACTTTGTAACTCAAGAGAATCTGTTAATTTGGCTCAGGCTACTGAGGATTAGAAAGGCTTGTGATGTAAAACAGCTGTGCATGTTTTTCTTTTTTCTTTCTGGCCTGCCAAAAGCATTTTTAGAAAAAGCATTCATGCTCTTCTTCCTCAAGGAAAAACGAACAGTCCATTGTGACAGAGGCGTTCATTAAATGAAGCTAAACTAAGGTCGATGTTCTGTCACAGTGATGATTGTTTACCTGCTGCAGACTTTAATGTCAATGCATATATAAATGATTTCCACACATGCACTGCACAAAAGGTAAGTTAGAAGATTTAAACGTCCAACACAGCTGGACAACCAGTGGATTATATTACATCTGCTCAACCACTTAAACCTTATATTTTCTGTTTTACTGGAACATGTAAATAATGTACATGCACCTTTCTGAGTCTTTAGATATAAAATCACTCTAGTTTCTTCAATTATTTGTTTCTGTTTTCCATTTAAATGTCACATGCCCTTTTTAAGCCAGCTTGCAAACATTTAACATATTAAAAATGCAAATTACCATATGCCTCTATCTACAAATGCCACACACACACACACACACACCGCACCATTACTCAACCACGATGTTATTTAATGCGCTCATTATTTAATTTGTGTCCTCTCTCCACACATTTGGCACGTAAAATTTGCTTCTCCTTTGGAAATCAATTATTAATGGCATTTTGGGTGTGACTGGGTGTAGTGTAACAACGCAGTAACACAGGAAGATGTTTATCTGTTTGCTCTGTAGGAAAGTACAAGCAGTCGGAGGCAGCTCTACATTAAGCAAAACGTACTCCGCGGTAAGTTATGGTGAACACTGTTACATTATACTGGAATGCAATCCAATTTTACAGACTAAATTGATCGTTAATTTAAGGAGCGCAGCAAATTAATGGATCATGAGCTGGTTTTATGGTTTAATGAGGCTGAAAAGTGGTTTTGACTAAAAATTAAATATTAGATATTTAATTTTAATGTTTCGGACATTAGCTGAGTGTTTCGTTTCTTCTTTAGAAGTGTATGTCAGATCTTTGCTCCTTAAAAACTTGATGAGTAATCTACTGCTAAAGCATGCGCTTGCTTCTCACTCGTGGATTTTAATATTAGTTTCTTCCTGGTCACTCCCACACCTTAAACGCACCTTACAGCTAGACAGCCTGTAAAGAAGCCTGATTCAATTAAAAGGAAAAAAAGTGGTTTTCGTTGTCTTTACCTGCAGCAAAATGCAGGGGTGTCGATTTGCGTCCAGCCATGTCTTTGGCGTTCACATTCACCGCATCCACGAGTTTCTTCACCCTGGAAACATCACCATTTCTGCAGGCTTCAAACAACTCCCTGAAAGAACCGTTTGCACCGCTGCTTCCCGGGTTCCCGCTGCTCGAGTCGGGCGTAGAACCGGGACTGGTGCCGCTACCTTCGGTGGTGGTCGGGGAGCTAGCACTGCTGCTAGTGGTGCTGCTGCTGCTGGTGCTGCTGCTGGTGCTGCTGCTGCTGCTACTGGTAGTGAGGGCCAAAGCAGGGGAGGTTGTGGTGGGAGAGGCTGGTGTTACCTCACCGTCACCGGTGTTCTCCATCGCGGCTCCGTGGGGAAGGGAGCTGGCATCATCAATGGATGCTAGCAGAGAGCTGGACGGGGTGACAGGGTGAGAGGAGCAACGGGGCGGGGAGGACAGGAGGGAGTTTGGCGGCTGCTGCTGCTGCTGCTGAGAGGAGCGACGAGATGTCGCCATTTTCACAACACAACAGTCCCCACTAGCAACAATAACACTGCTGACAACTTCCTGTCAGGAAAGCTAAACTTCCGCTCGGTTTTGCGTGGATTTATGGATTTAGGGTCAAAAATATCTTTAATTCAAATACAGGAATATCAGCATGTCTTGACTGGTAAGATTTCAAATTAAGACACGAGTACACACAAAATCTGGAAATGTTTTTTTTTATGAAGTTGCATTTGTTTTGGAGAGAAAAAATTTTTTTTTATTCAAGTGGAAATAGAAATAAAATTAAAAGATAAAATTGCCACCTTTATTTATTTTTATGCGCGTACCCTTTTTCTATATGTCTTTTTAAAAAGACATATATTTATGCATATGTTTTCTATTCTATTTTGCCTCCATGTTCACATTAATATTCCCACTATTCTCAGCTGAATACATGAAAATGTTTAATGTCGTTAAAAGACTGCAAAATAAAATTAATATTAATGAGCCTGGGTGTTACTAGTTTTCTTTTCTTTTTTTTAAGTTTAACCCCTAATTTCATTATAATTTGATAGGTAAGAAAGAAGATAAGATAAGATAACCTTTATTAGTCCCACACGTGGGAAATTTGTTTTGTCACAGCAGGAAGTGGACAGTGCAAAAGTTATGACGCAAAAATTAGAATACAATAAGAATAAATACAGTACACAACTGTACAGAATAGAATAAAATAAAATACTATATACAGTAGAATAAAATAGAATAAAAATATACAATAAGATAAAAATAGAATACGAATGCTATATACAACTGAGTAAAAATACAACGATGCCAGAAAAGATTATTGCACTTAGTGTTATTGCACATGTGTGGATGTGTGTGTTTGTTCAGTTAAAGTCTTTGTTGTGGAGTCTGACAGCAGTGGGGAGGAAAGACCTGCGAAATCTCTCCGTCCCACACCGTGGGTGCCGCAGTCTCCCACTGAAGGAGAAAGACGTGTAGCAAATAATGTGCACGCATACATGGAAGATGCAGGTTTGTTTTTGTTTTTTTTAGATCAAAGCAGAGTTTGCATGATGCAGACACTCATTGTTGTACCTCTATCTTGATCTCCACGAATATACGGACAACAATTTGATGGTCAGGTAAATTGGTTGGACTGAAAATGAGTGAAAAATCAGACATTATCCAAAGAAAAACTTTGAAAGATCTTCAGAAAGCCTGGAGAGCTATTACTCAAGACTTTCTGAAAGGTCTGGCTCCTTGCAAGAAAAATATAAAGAATTCAGAGGTGGCTCAAGACTTTTGCACGGTGCTGTATGTTGTGGCTGAGATTGCAGCGTGGGGCCCCCCTAGTGGCTGTGGGAGCTCCGTGCATCTACATAGTCTGCAAATAACAAGACTGTTCTGTATGCAGTCTTCTCAGTCCACTGCTTTGCGCTTAGAAACGTCAGGTGTTCTGGCTCAACACTGCCACCTGATGGAGACATTTGGTAATAGTTGGAGATGCTGAAAAGAACATTTAGCTTCTCATATTGTATTATTTCAAACTGTTGATGAGATTTAAATAAAGATCAAGTCAGCCATCAGTCCACAAAATTTGTGTCAATAAAGAATCTACACATTTCCATTCAGATGTTAAAGGGTTGTCTTACTTTTAACATCATCGAAAGTTAATAGCTATTTTTTTATTCTTTACTTTTTTCACTTTTTCACTGCATGTGTTTGAAGTTTGACAAGCCAAATGACAGTCTCCTCTAACACCATGAAAACTCTGGCAGATTTGAGCTAAGGCCCTTTTTGCTGTAAAGCAATGCTGTGAGAAATGACTGGCAAGTGAACCACACATCAAAGGCAGAGTCTGGGTGCAGAGTTTTATAAAATGTGAACAGTTTACTTAAGAATATTCTAGTGGTTTCATTAATTGGCCACTAGAGAGTGGCAGATAGTCTCTGAGAAAACTGGAAGCTTTTGCTGTAGTTCTTTATAATCTTGCTCCTAAATTTAGTACTATATGTAACCTATTTTCTCACACATTGTCAGTTGCCTATAGTTTATACTTAAGATTCTTTTGTTTTAGTCAAGCTCACAAGTTCAGGTTTTAAACACTTTAGCAATATAAAGTTTCAAAAGCATAAAGGTCCTAGTGTTTCTTAAATGAATGAGGATTCTGACAAATTTTGACTAATATTTGTCCTTACTGATGTCAAATACATTAATTTATTCTATTTTCTAACACAGTTATCTTTTTGATAAGTATTAGTCAAAACACTTACCTACTTTTTTTGCATAAACAAGAAACCCAAACAAAACTATTTCTCTCACAAAAACCTAGTAAATGCAATTAAATTCATGAAAAAATAGGCATATTTTCAAAACGTATGCACTCTCTGTATCCGTTTGAAATTTATGACACATATAACATTGGTATGTGCAGTATTTCTTCAATAGGATCAGGAAGTGCAGGTTATGTCTGATTTTGTGTGAGTTGTTATTTTTTAAGGTCTCTAGAGTTCCTGTCATTCCTTGTTTGCATCAGACTTGTACCTGGTGAACCCTTTCCTTTGTTTTCTAGTTAAAGTGATAAAGGGTTGCTGAAAACTCCTTAGCCAAAAATGTTGCATTTTCTGGAATTAAATGCATGTGTAAATTATTAATTATCCCTGATTATCAACAAATAGCTTTTTGCCATTTGTATTTGTGATGCTAGTCATTAACATAAAATGCACAGTGAAGAAAGGTTAGAAATGTGAGGTCAAAATTTCAGCGTATGTTTGCACACATCATTGTTCCTGAGGGCTCACAACCTGGAAAATGAAAACTACTTCACATGAACAAACTGTTACATTGCAAGAGTGGTATGTATTTGGCAACCAAAACTTGCTGTCATCCAAATCTTTTGCTCCAGTTTCACCTTATAAAGATCTGTGATGTGTGGCATGATACAAATGCTGTGAAGTTATGTAGCTTACATACAACCGGTGGTGGAAGACTGACATTAATATATGAAACTTTGAATGAAAACAGAAAGAAAGAAAGAAAGAAAGAAAGAAAGAAAGAAAGAAAGAAAGAAAGAAAGAAAGAAAGAAAGAAAGAAAAAGAAAAAGTTGAAATAACTACAGAGGGATAAAGTTGGTGAGTCATACTATGATGATAAGGGAAAGAGACATTGTGTACAAATGATGTGGCAAAAGGATTGGTTCACAAAGTCTGCCTGGTTTGTTCACATACCTGTCGTACCTGGTTTATTTGTCCTCTGTGTGTCAAAGAACACAAACAATTCTGAGGAAAAATAAAGATACAGATGGCTTCAAGAACACATGACTTTGTATTTTATTGTGTATATTTCAGATATTTCTTGCAAAGTAATCTTACTTTAAAAATGTCGCATTTTGTATTAATTTGGTAAACAGCTGCTATTGAAGGCAGTAGGAAAATACAGCTGCTCTTATCAGTGCACTGAAATAAAATAAAATACTTAAATGTTGAGCTTCCTTTAGTGACTTGAGCAATCACAGTTAATCGCAAAATTTGACACACTGGGTACTGGAAGGAAGCTGGAAGCTCAAAGGAGATGTTGATGGACAAATACCATCGTAGCTGAAACGGGGTCGGCCTAAACAATGTAGGGTCTGGCTGTGACATCTGCCTCTTATAGGTCATTGACTTTCTCAGAAACTGATTCACTTTCCTTAAAGAGATCAGTAAAGCTGCTAGCTCTTTGAAATAGTCACCCTCATCTCAGCTCTTTGACAAGGTGTTTACAGCACTGAGAATCATGAATGATCCCCCCTACCTATGGAGAGACCTTATTAGCATTCGTTAATAATCGGGTTTCTTTTGATGCTCTGGCAGAATCTCACATCAAGCACAACCAGAAAGACGGAAGAAGCTAGAAAAACCAGGATGTTAAAAAAATAGAAACAAACACATGTGTGGACAGAATATTGAAAGAGAGGCACGGGAGAGAAAAAAACAAAGAGAGTGAGGCAGAAAGGTATTCAAGCTGCTCTCAATAGATTCCTGCAGAACTACATTCTTGCCAATTATGATTCCCCAACACACAGAACCCACATGCCATGCAAATCAAAGTCATGATGACTCCAGGTCTCACATATATATTTCTATAAACCTGGCCAGTCAGTTCAGTGTGAATTTTGTAATGAAGTAAAATATTGGCTCAGTCTCCAGCAGTAGCAGCTAAAGCATTATTTGGATTTTTCACTGTAGAAAAGTCCAAAATCTCAAAAGTCAGAAAATTTCTGAAAATCTTCTTCAGAAATTTCACAGTTTTTCCTCCTGACATTGCCATTCATACTACACCAAAATAAAACATTGAAATAATTTAAATAATTTGTGATAGTTCACAGAAAAATACTAAATAAATAAAATGTAAAATAAGCAAAAACTTAGTTTTATTATTACAGGACTGTTAGGGCAACAAGAACTTTATCTCTAGTTTTGCACTTCCATTTCTTAAAATGTAAGCCCACAGCAGAATTTCTTTGTCCTGCAGAAAAACTGAAACATACTGTTGAAAATGCACTCCTTTTATTCTTCCTTTTATTTTGTTTCTGTCTGCCCTAAAGCTTTGCAGTAAATTGGGAAAAATAGCAATGAAATTAGCAACTTCTTCCTCCTGGAATCTGCTGCACAATCAGCAAGTTGTGGAGGCCAGCAGGTGGATGAGGGAAAGGTGAGCCGGAGGAGGAGAGATCCTAGGCAGCCGCCGGTATTCGGTGAACTGAACTTCAGGTGAGAAGTTATCCCCTGCAGTCTATCTGGGTCAAAGGTCAAATAAATTGACTGACTTTTTACAGTCAGTTACAATAACTGCATACTAGCTAGTGTCTATACAGCTGGGTGGGTGCTATGATGTTACTAATAGTGAACTTTATTTTATTCAAAAGGTTAGTTAGTAGAGTTGCCAACCGTCCTGTAAAAATGGAATTGTCTCGTATTCAGAGAAAATATTACGTGTTTCGTATTGAGCTGAAAAGGAACACAGTTTGTCCCCTACTTCAGCTAGAATTAAAAAAAAGACCCAAAGCTGGAGTTATTCTGTGTCTTTACGCTGTCAGCGGC